GCACACGTGCAGTCTCGCTGGCGGTGGCTCATCAGCAGCTGAAGCCGAAACACTGCGATCAAAACCTGTTTTCGGTGTATCGTTTTAAACCACGAAACGTTTCCTATGGTCTAAGAGTCTAAACACATGCTAAACGCCGGTTGAGAGTCCGTGCCGTTTGCCCCTGGATCACCGACTCCTTCAGCGCGCTTCCGAAGGCATCCCACTTCACCCGGCGCCGCACCAAGCGCTTGGCGCGCATGCGGGTCAAGGTCCAAAGCTGCTTGACGAAAGAACCTGGATGGGAGTTGATGCATCGCTTTCCTGGGAGGTCTGAGGGGGGTTGAACTAGAACTATCAATGATTAGACCCGGAGGAGCGCACACAAACAAATTCAAGGATTCCCCTGGGTTGGCTACCTTGTGTGATTTGGCAAGTTGTGTCCTGTTCTGTAAACCAGGAAAGTCCTAGCAACACATCCGGGGACCAGCAAACCCCCATGGCACAAACCGCCACCGGTAGCCCGGCAAAGTGTTTGGCAACGACTTTCCTGTTTGGGAGTAAGTTGGCAAGTGGGACACCAATAGCCCTGAGCTTAAGCGTGCCCTGCATGGTCTGCGGTAGTCCCATGGCGATCGGAGTCTGAGATTGGGGACTGTTTGAGAGGCTCCCGGAACTCTTGATGTGAACAAATGCAAGCAGGAATTGTTAAGACAAAAGTAAGCAAGCATGTCTCAAATTGCAAGCAAGAAAACGGCGTGCCACCGTTTTCTTGCAGGGAGTTAGTTTTGTTAGTTTGCCACTGATCAAATGAAGGCAACATTGGTCTATGGGAAGGCCTTTCAAGACCAAATCCCGGAATGTGTTCAAGACAACGAGAGGTGTCATAAAGCAAACTTGGTCGGATTGGCCAATGGGAAGGCTTTTGTGCGTGCTGGAATTCAAAAAAATCAAGTGAAGTACCCTCGCTTACTTTGCTCCTCACTGCGCCTCCTTCCTTCTCTGAATGGTAGCCACAAGTGGCCCCCTAAATTTAGATCTTTAGCTATTCTGTAGTATGTTAAAACAATAAGTAAATGAACATAGGAATGGTCTCTTTCCCTCTCTCGTTCTCTCTTTCCTTCTGCATTATTTTCTATATCTCTCTCCCTCCCTCCCTCCCTCTCCTTTTCACTCTCCTTTCTCGCAAGGCACTGTTTTTCCTTTTATCTTTAGCAATCCTTTTCTCTTACTGTACCCAATTCGGCTCTATTGAGAGTCAAAGAGACCCAATGATGGCCTCCTTGTCTTTTCAACCTGACCTTTTCACTCTTGTTTTGTTTCGTTTGTCTCTCCTATTCGTTTTCAATCCTTTCCTATTGTATTACATCTTTATCATTGTTTATCTATTTATATGATCGTTTTGATCCATCTCTCTCCCTCTCTCTCTCACTTGACTCAATCTGTGCGTTCTTCTCCTTCCCTATATCATATCTATATCCTCCTCTCTCCACTTCTATGTTTGTTCTTCCCTGTTTTCTCTCTCTCTCTCTCTCGTTCTCTTATCCACCCCACTTTCTCCATATGGGCCTTGTTGGGCCGACCATCTCTCCTCTCTCTCTGTCTCTCTCTATCTCTCCATTTTGTGCCCACTCAGCGGTCTTGCAGTTTCCACTTGCAGTTGCCTTGCAAGCTTCAGAACATGTTAGAACAAAACTGATGATCTTTTTCTCAGATATACATCTACAATGGGTAACACAATAGTATACACACTTTATATATCGACTGTGGCCACCATTGGGAGTCTTATAGTTTGACATAACTTTAGCCAAACTATCTTGTGGCCTGGCTCGAATGTTGTGCATTCTCAGGAGCCACCTGACGTATCCCCATGACATCCGTTGTCACATGGCGTTCTGGTTCCCCACCCTTAAAAAACCCGAAGAAACCGCGTCGTTTCCGTGCGCATCGGTCGGGCCGTCGGAGGAAGCTACTAGGAACAAGTGCATCGCTTCTAGTAACAAGTGCCTTACTACTAGGAACAAGAAGCTATTAGAAACATGTGCCTTACTAGTAGTAACAAAAAGCTACTAGTACTAGTAGTCTCATAGGCCCGTGCCTTACTACTAGTAACAATAAGAATTTAATTAGAATTGTAATTGCTAGCAAATGGCCCAAGAAGGCGTCGATCCAAAGCCGCTTGAAGTTGATCGCCCGGTTCCGCCCCACCGCCGAGCCAATCCTCGGGTCGAGGATTGGCTCGAGGGCGCGAGGGTGCAGAGACAAAGGAACGGAACAGCGGAGCAAGAGGACAGGTCAACACTAATTCAAACTGCTGATGGTGCGACCGAAACCAGCAAACCATGTCCAAGTCGCAGGTGTGTCTCACAACATGGAGCAAGTCGAACAATCGAGGCAATTGATAACATTGGTGTGTTTTTCCTCGCACTCCTTTTTCCGCAGCAGGGTCAGGGCAGCGAGCGCAAGGGGAGGAGGCTGGACCCAGGAGGGTCCGCCAAGGCCAGGACATTCTGAAGTTCTAAAGGCAAAACCAAAGGGGTAAAACAATGGTCTTCACACTGCCCTGCAATCCTCCCCAAATCCTCTGCACCAAGTGACTGAAATCCAGCAGCCAGGGCTGGGCGCACAGATGGGAGCACACGTGGTAGTGTACGAGCACAAAGCTCACCTAGCTAGGGATCGGTCTTTTCAGCGTTTTTACCAGCAAAGCAACAAAAACATAGCAAGCCTGGCAGGGAATGAAGCCGGTGAAACCATGTTTTGGGACATGCGTGAGGAAATCTTTATGTTTGTTCATGAAAATGCATGAAATGATACATCCCAGATCATCCCAAACACTCCATATTTACCTACATTGGGGTGGTGCCAGGGGGGTCAACTGATCGGCATATATGGCAGTCCCATGGAGTGTCTGGGCATCATCCTACTGACTCTAAACCGATTGATCCCCAAAGACCCTGCCATCCCTTAAGAATCCCATCCTGCTAGGTCCTGACCTTCCACCACGCCCCACCAGGGTCAAGCCTCGAACACAAAAACATGTTTAAACCATCCGAGAATACTGCCAGGCGGCTCTCGAAAACCATGGAAGCCCCGATCTGCCAGCGTGCCAAAAGACTGCCGTCCTCCGCATCACGGACCAGCAGCACCTCGGACCGTGCACACGCGGCTCAGGGGCATGTTTGCGTGGTGCACATATGTCACGCAGGGGTGGCCCAAAATGATGGAACACAATGGATTGCTGTGTGAAACTACTACAAGCTCAAACGTCACCGCAGCCTCTCGTCTCGTATACCCTGCAGTTCCACCTTCCACCACTCTTCGCCTCGTCTGTGAGTGCCTCGAAGGCCCTCAGCTGCGAACTTGTGAACTTTGCGGCTGTGACGTGTCACACCAAGCAGCCTTCTTCACCAATCAAAGACCTGCGTATGCCCTGTGGCGCTGCTTTAGCCAAAAATCATCAAACATGGATAAGTCCAGTCCGCCCGCGCAGGTGGCACTGGCTTCATCTGGCTTCAGCTTCACGTCCGGCCACCAGAACTGGTGGCCGGACGTAGTCAAGTTCGGCCCTTCTGCAGGGGGCCCTTCTGAGATATACTCTATCTCTAAATGGTCCAAGGAGTTGTATAGATGGTCAACTTAAGACCAGCCCTGCCACCATCTTGCAACCCTAATAGGGAGATGGTCGCGAGATGGTGGGCGGTTTGGGCAACAACCTGTTGCCCCAAACACCTTGATCTTCTCTGCCACCTTCAAAGTGACCTTTTGAGATCCCAGAATGAGGTCACTTAGTCCCTTCTAGAGGTCACTTACAGACTCCAAAGAGGTCCTGGTGGATGATACTCGTGATAACTCCTGGTGATCCCGACCCTCGGGCCACACAGCCGAGACCCGGCCGCGTCACCGGCCCCGTCACCGCGGCCTTTCTCGCTGTCGCTCGTCTCGCGCCCAGCGCGCCCAGCTCGGGTCAGCTGTCAGCTTGGAAGCTTGGAAGCTCTGCATGCTGTTGGACATGCTTTCAATGTCACTGTTTCCCGGACGTGTGCTGGTTCTTCATGTTCCAGATTTGCGGGTGACGAGCCAAGCCTGAAGTCGTTGCAACACGGCCAAACCTCCTGGGCCTGACTGATGCAGCCACCATCACAGGGACATTTCAATCTGTTCATCTCTTGAAGTGTCCGGGCCATGGCGTTGAACGAGTCGCGCAACTTCTGGAAACAGTTGCAACGAGTCCAGGTTGATCGGCCTTGCAAGGTGCTACTCACATCTTGAGCGTGTCCGCTGTGGAGGCAGACTGGGCTTCAGCCCCCGCTCCCTGTGAAAAGACCCGTGGTTTCAGAGTAGATGGCACAATCCCTAAGTTATATAGGTGGTTTAGACGGAACCCATATGCCATATGCAACAAAAGGAACATCTTTGGGTTTGTGCCATCTATATACTCTGAAACCACTGTATTTACTTATCTGGCACAGCTGTCAATCCCTGTTCCGCTACTGTAATCTAGATACTTGACCTGTGACCATCTAGCCTGTCTACGTCGGCACTTGTGGCGCTGTGCTCCAAGTGCCAAACTACTGGTTCCAGTTTCACACGCTGTGACATGTTCCAAAAACTGAATTCACGCCAACAAATTCCCTCCAACCCCACCAGCTCCCAGTCTAGACTGGGACCGCCGGGGCACTGGGAAACGTTGGGCCCGTGTCGGGTTGCGAAAGATCCAAAGCATGTCCTTCGCGAAGAGATTTCCTGGGAACCACAGCGCTGGTTAGCCTTGTGAATTACAACTGGTAGGTTGCCATTCTTTAAGGTGGTGCAGCACCAATCTGGTGAATCGGTATGAACTCTGTTGTATGAGTTCGAACAATGCATCACCTACTCAAGTTCTCAAGGACGGGACGTGCCAGTAGTGCCCTTCGTGGGAATGTATATTCTAGGATTTTTTCATTTGGGTGCGGCTGGGGGAGGCCTGGTGATGTAAATGGAAAACATGTGCCACTTGAATCCGAAATCTTCTACAGTACACGCAAAAGATCTCTCCAATTCATATGCTATGGTGAATTGTCCTTGTAAGTTGGTTTCCTTTCGAAGTGGTCAAACTGGAGACCCCACGCCGTGCAAAAGCTTAAAAATGCTCCAGCCTGGTGCTTCTTGGGTGTTCCTGGATGCGTTATTCTGTAACTCAACTGCCCAAGGGGGCAGTAACTTGGCTGAGTCCAGAACAAATCCCGTAAGCAGCTGCAAGTGTCCGTAGATATCGCCAAAGATCTCTCCAATGGCTTGGCCATATCCTGAGGTTCCAACATGGGAAAGCCCAGGTGCTTAGCTTTGTTTGTTTACTTTGTTATCATGTTTTTATCAATACTCTTCAACTATGTTTACCTCATAATGGGTGGAGTCTGAGCCATCACCGGGTTTCGTGTCAAACTAACTTCCCACAAAAAATATTGCAGGCCCACCAAGGACGCAAAAGGACTAAGAGGTTCTGCTAAAATACCGAGAACATCCAAGAACTGACGTCACTTTGAACCCACAGCGCACCTTTCCAAACCACATCAAACCACAACATGTTCTTGGAATGGTTTGGCTAACAAAGCAATGGCGAGTCAAGTCGGTTCCTTCTTCCACCTGGTGATGTTGTATCAACAAAAGCCCCATGCGAAAAGGACAAACAATAAACGCATTGCACAACCATAGCACCCTTCCCACAGTGACCAAAGTCGTCGACAGTGCATTTGGCATGAGCCATGAAGTGCTGTAATCATTTTTGAAACCAAAGCGGTTTCATGAGACTGTGTCTTTACCACCACACGCAGTGCTGCAAGCTGCAAGCTGTAGTGCTTGCTGCGCAGCGCGTGCAGTGTTTCAATGGAAGCACTGCAGGGCACAGCTCACAGGGGCCCACAGCCCTGGTTTTCCCCTCCAAACCGCTCCGCCACCCAAGGCGCTCTCAGTCGCCTTGTTGCTCAGCTTCTCCCACCTCAGAAAATCCCAAAGCTCGGTCGATTCGGCCCGATCCACTCGCTGTCCACTCGTACATCTGTTTGGGATGGATGGTCACCTGATGGTTGTAATCTGCAAAATTATTTTGCGGTTTTGTGGGTGTATAACCTGAGTTTTACATCGCTTTACCAAAAAAAAGGCAACACCACAAGACCAAAGTCGATCTGCTAGCAGTACAAACCATACGAACGCGGAAATCGAATGGTTTTCTATGTTGCAAGTCTTTGCTTCCTCCATCAGGTAGCTAATTGGACCATGGCGCCACACTACTCTCTTTGATGTCAACTTTTCAGGATTCCACTGCAGTCAAAACGACGACACTAACACTCTAACGGTCTCAAAAATTGCCACAACTCTCACCCTCAACTCTCACAGTCCCGAGCTCGCTCCCAAAGGCAACGCCCAAGCAGCTGCTGCAGCAGCGTCTGCCGGGCGTTGTTGGACATTCGCACCGCCACGGAAGCGCTCACCGCGTCCTGCGTGAGCTCGAAGGCGGAGCCTGCAGCCTTCTGGAGATCCTGGGCGTGGTGGGTGGTGCCCGGGGGCTTCAGTAGTGGGGAGCCCAGATCTGGTAGGTGGGGAGGTCATGGGACCAGGCTGGGGACTGAGGCTCTTTCCAAGGATGGCGATCCTTGACAGGGGTCGTAGGGAACCTACAGAAGGCCCCAATAACGGAACGCCTTGCTTACTCCAAAAAAAGAACTGGCTGGCTCCAACGTTCCCAATTGAGCCGGAACACTGAACACTGAATAGATCCACAATAAGTGAAACAAATCACCACGAGCACCCTCGCGACAATCCTGGAAGTGGAGCGTAGGCTGGAGGACTATATTCTCTAAGTGAATCAGGACCTCAGACCTCAGATGACCTCAGCATTCTCAGCATTCCAGTTTCCATCACCTGACAGATGCAATGCACTGATCTTCATTGCGCTTCATTGCGCTGCATCACTGATCTTCTCTACGCGTCGATGACAGGCCGCTCGCACCGGAGCTCTCCGGCGGCACGGCACCGGACTCGCACTGCACCCGTCGCGGACTTCGCCAAGCAACGCTGACCGTATGGCTGATGGAACCGAGAAGGCCCTGCCTGAGTTGACAAGGTGAACGTCAAGACCTCCCTAGGGATCCAGTAACAAGGGTATCGCTACTAGTAGCTATCGAAGCTACTAGTAGCTCCTGGCATTACTACTATAGTAGTTACTATAGTAACAAATAGCTACTAGTAACTAAGGGCCTGCCACCTTCTGTAGTTGAGCCCTCCTGGTGCCTACATGCTCTCCAATGGCCTACATCACTGGATTCGCTATGGTCGGGCCTTTTTGTGGCCCACTTGCGATGAAGCATGAATCCAGTGGCCCCAGAAGTCCCCACCCACACCCAGACGCAAACGACCACGGTGACTGGTCTAAGCTAAAGAGAGTTAGTAGCAATTTGCCGAGGTGTCTGCGGTGTGCTTCGGGTACAAAGACAACCACCCTGACAACACTCAAAAGGACCAGAATCGTTCTTCCCTACCAAAAACAACCAACCTGACAACACTTCAAAGCACCAGATTGAGTTACCCCACTTCAAGCACAGTCGTGGACTGGTGAATCTGATGCACCGATTCCGCCGCTGAGGCCACCGGCTGGGTCTCAGTCTCATCGCTCTTCACCACGTCGAGCTTCTCCTGCCGCAGCCACTGGCGTTCCGAAGCAGTTCTCCCACGGACGCCGTCCCCGGAGCGATTTCATTCAAACATGGCCCTATGTCTAGCGATGTCAGGAATATAGAAGGGAAAATAACAAATAAGGTCTGCTTTGGTCTGCATCTTTAAAGAACAAATATGTAAAAATCTGTGGGCGACTCCAAGACTTGGAGACTTCAAGAATCTGTAGGTCGTGAGAAAAGTGTCACCCTGAAATCGGTCGCCTATATATTGACAGTCAAACCACCATGGCCCGCCGGATTTCAAGAAAATATTATATACATATAGAATATATAACCATGCATTAATGCATGTATACACATGTATTTAGACCCTCGTCTGTCAGCAATTGTTTCCAAGCATTCGCAACATCAACCTGAGTTTAAGCTTCAACCTGAAGAGAAACAGGTTGCTTTCTTGATGGTAAGGTGTTGGGAATGGGTCACAGCAAGTTCTACGACCAAATTCAGTTCAACGGCTTTGGAGTGTCTGTTGCGCGCACACCAAGTGGAAGAGCACTTGACACAAACTGATCATTCACTGTGATGATATAAGACTTGCCTCACCCTCTCGACTTTCACCTTAGACTGTCCCATTCTTGGATTTGCTTAAGGAACCTATATATGGCAAAAGATATTCACCAGGTTTGGGGATGTAGCCAGTCCGTGAAAACCTCACCTGACACGCAAAACCATGTGCAATTGTGCTGCGGTTCATTTCGCTCGACCCTGCAGAGAGACCCCGCGCCTTTTCTTCCAAACAAACCAAGGCCTGGGAAGAAGCGGGAATGGTTCGATCTCTTAGGCGTCAAGGATTTTCAAGGTACCTCTGTTTGGGACCATGTTGGAACTTGCTCCCTGCTCCCGGTTCCCTGCTCAGCTGAGGCAGGTAGATCAGTAGATCGGTTCTCGACTCAAACCTTCAAGAAGTCACACAGGTGGAAAAAGCACCAAGCAAGTTCTAAGCCTGCTTTCTCAAGCATCCGTCTCAAGATCAAGCGACTCAAGTTCCGGAAACGATGCGCAGTTCGAATGAACCCGACTCGTCTTCCACGGCGCGTGCGAGATATTCTCGCCATCTTCATGGCTGTGGATGGCAAAAACAAATTGTTTATTTCCACTGAAATGTAGACAGGAAACCGTGCCACGGTCATCTATTTGGGGAAAACGAAACCAGTTGAATCGAAACCACAAAAAGGCATCCGCCGACCTCGTAGGCAGAGGCGCGACGCACCATGAGTTCGATCAAAGCCACACCGCGCCACTCCTGCGGAGGAGATGTTCATGGTGCGGTGATGCCGCTTTTTTCTGTGGAAAAACACATCTGCTGCACTATTTCTTCCAAAGTTGTAGCTCAAGTCCACAAAGGTTAGATCAGTTTAGACTAGGTATCCAATTGGCAAGAACATGAATTACGATACTGTATGTAGGAGTCTGTTTTTAAATGTCTTGCTGGATTAGATCGGGGCAGCTCCACCGAAACAACCAACATCTTTCGTAAAATTAGAGGACATTGGTCTTCCAGGGGGGCCTGTGTCATCATTCTCCAAACCCAAAACCAGCAAATCATATCATTAAATGTAAGTTCCAAGAGAGGTGAAGTGACCGTAAATCGGACTCTACTGGGGTACCGAACTGGCATAGTCTAGTAGAAAAGGGTCCTTCAACCGGGCTTCAGCGATGTCACTTCCAGTTCCTGCACCAGAAAGTAGAAGCTCCCGATGTCACTCGTGGCCACTGCGTCCAACAAGTCCTCGATGGTCGTGGCTCGCTTGATCCTCCAGGGGCCAACAAAGGAAACGGGAGAGAAGGGGAGCAACGTGGTATGCCAGGAGCTACGTTCGTAGCTTCTTGCTCCGTTCGTAGCGATGCCCTTCCTACTACTAGCTTCTTGCCACTAGTAGTTATGCCAGGAGCTACGTTCGTAGCTTCTTGCTCCGTTCGTAGCGATGCCCTTTGTTACTAGTAGCTTCTTGTTACTAGTAGTAATGCCAGGAGCTACTACTGGTAATTAAGTAGTAAGTAGTAAGCCCATGTAAGCCCTTCTTACTACTAGCTTCTTGCCACTAGTAGCGATGGCCTCAAACCTACTTGCGATGGCCTCCACCTAATAACGTCCTAATAGGTATATTAAATTGTATACACCCGGATCAAGCAATAAAACAAATCTCGAGTGCAGTCGCTCAAGCATCTCCCCTACCCTTCCCTCATCTGTCTGTACCACTAAGTGTTCTCCCCTCCACCCAAAAATGAGGCAATCCCCCAAAAGTAAAGCCATTGTTCTGTAGCGTCCTTACTCCTTTAGTAGCGATGCCAGGAGCCCCTAGTAGCTTCTTGTTCCTAGTAGCAAGGCCAGGAGCCCGTAGTAGCGTCCGATCGCTCCGTTCGTAGCGATGCCCTGTGTTACTACTAGCTTCAGAAGCCATCCTGAAGAAGGACACCACTTTCGAGCCAGCTGCCAGTTGACACCAAACTGCCCCAGCAGCGAACACATCCACCTCAGCTTCGACCCGAGTTCGAACATCGCACCGGTCGCGCCTCGCGTGGCACCGGTGTATCTGATGGGTCGATCGGCTGAGAGAAATGGTTGCAACTTGCAGAACACTATAAATATATATTATATATAGTGGTCCCCAGATAGATAGAAACAGATTCCAATAAATTTTTAGTGGGGATCTACTTTTCTATCTATTTGCGGGTTTGTAGGCTCTATCCAATAGGATAGTGTCCACCTGGCTGTTACATTATCTGTAATATTTTAGGTCAGGTTTATCCCATTACCAGTAACAGTGGAGGACGGTACTTTAGGTTGCAGGCCTTGTTCAAAAATAGTTGTATATGATTCTTAGTAAATATGGGACAAACCCAATATATATATATATATATATATATAGAGTACAATCCACCAACTGGTGGAAAAACGGAGAACGAGCTACCAACCGCCATAACAGAACATTGGGGAGCCTTCGGTTCCAAACCATCTAGGTACCTGGCGAAGTATATACCTCTTAGGAGGATGCATCTCAACACAGGCCTTGAGGACAAATGGACTGCAACAAACACTAACTTCATGTGGGTGTGCATTAATATAGGGAGGCCTCCAAAGACCCCCCCAGACGAGGAGAAATAGACCAAACCCCACTGGTTGGGGATTGCCAAAGCCTTCAACAGGTCACCCATTTCGCCAGAAATGAAAAGAAACAACCCATCCTTTGATCCTTTACCCCCCAAAATGCCCGTGTCATGTCTGACGAACCCAAACGACCCAGAAAAGATGCCTCGAAAACCCACCCGCAAACATCCGCAACTGCCAGAAAACTATCAAGAACACAACCCCACCAAAGTCAAACCCCACCCTAACTCCAACACACTTGGCCCTGTCCGCCTCTTCAGGCTGCAACTCCAGATTGGGCTGCTCCAGATATCGCCATCGTGTGGGGCCAACGACCGAGGTCACTGGGCCGCGATTCTTCAGATCTCTGCGGAAGAAGGTGTGGTGCATGCCTCATCGCGTCGGGGGTCTTGGTGCCTGGTCTCTTGGTACCCTTGGTGCACCGCACCACGTGCTGGTGATATATATATATATATATAATTTTATATCATGTGATATATATATATAAAGAGTAGTGCGCACCTCCTTTTCTGTTCGCTCTGCAGCACATTTG